CAATTGATTATTTTCTGCAAACTACTGATGAGTTTGGGATCTGTGGATTTCATGAGACTATTCTCCCACTGACTCGGGATGGTAGCAGCAGGAAAATCCCTGTGGCTCTTTGTTCAGCCAATCTAATCAAGTGGGTTAACTCCAGGCTCAGTGGGAGGCTTGTCCAAAAGAGAAGCTGGAAAAGGAAGAAAGAGGGTTTCTGATGTCAACCTTTGGACTCCACACAGGCATGTGTTCACATATGCCTTGGGGAGGATTCAGCTTCTGTGGGCCATGAACATCTTTGTGTATCCTCTTTCTAGAAAGACATGCAAATATTACAAAGAAATTTGGCTGGGATCTATTGGAATACCATATCTGCTGCTCTCCAGGCCAGTGAGGCTCTGAGGGGAGCCTCCTCCTGGCTTAAGATCCTTCTATATTGGAGTGCAACAAGTAGTAACAGACAATGAGAGCCTACCTTTGGAGGAGACATTCACCAAGAAATGAACTGAGAATGAGTGCAGTTGGGCCTAGGGGGTCTCATGACACGAGAAAGGATGGATTAAATAAAGGAAGGTTAAGTAACAGCAGGAAGTAGATGATTTGGGTCGAGTTTCTGGGCCCTGGGCAAGCCTTGCAAACTTGAAAGTACCCCGAAATCTTAACATAGTAAATGTGATGCCGTGTAATTGACAAGCTGAAGACAGCAGCACTTTTGGCTTGAGCCTGAGTGGGGAACTGGCTCGGCAAGCTGAGCTTCCATGGGTTGGCACTGAGAAACCAGGAAGGACTGCAGCTGTTTGGTGAGCCTGTTCTCACCCCATGTCCTGTGGCAAGGTGGCACATGAGCCAATCATCCCCAAAGCTCAGAGTTTAAGGAGGCCTCAATGAGGTCAAATTTGAAGGTTAGTGGGACGGATTCTTCATTACTCTACCTGAGCAGTGTATTTTCTCCAATTTGTCTGTGGCTTTTGAAGTTCCTACAGGGAGTGGGGATGGTAGAACACTTGTCCAGTGGTGTGCAAGAGCCTGAACTCTCACACCACAAACAAACAAAAACCCCTAAGTGTTAGGGGATCTTGGTTTTGTGCTCGCAAGGAAGCTGGAAATAGAGCTGAGAGAATAAAACAAATACATACTGTGGAGCTGGAGAGGGTCAAAGCACTGCCTGTTCTTACAGAGGTCCTGGGTTTGATTCCCAGTGTGTGTGTGTGTGTGTGTGTGTGTGTGTGTGTGTGTGTGTGTGTGTGTGTTCCCATGGAGCACAGATATACACATAATACCCCCAGACACACGAAATGAAAATTAAAAAGTGCTGAGGACAGAAGCTTCCCTGAGATGGTATGCACATGGAGGTGGGAGTGCTCCACCAAGGCAGGAGTGCTCCGTCACCTGCACTAGACTGAGCTCTAATCACAAAGGAACAGACCACAGACTCACAGAGCCCTAGGGGAGGGCCCCTGAGAGCTGCAGAAAATGAAAGGTTCCCTTCAGCTTCACTTTGACTGCCGTGGCCCTACCCCCCATTTGTTGATGATGGCACGATTGACTTGAACCCCTCATCTCTGCCTGGTCTTTTCTTTGCTGGACCTCTCACATGCTGTTCCAGCAGACTCACTCCAGGCTTCTCAAAGGACACCGACCAAGGGCCGTTTGGAACTCATGGGGTTTGGATTTGTTTTTCTGCCACTCACGTAGCTGATGATGATCTTGAACTTTTGATTCTCCTGCCTCCACCTTCCCAGTGAGCAAATTACAGGCATGCAGTGCTGGGGCTCAACCCAGGGCTCTATGAATGCCAAGCAAGCCCCGTATCAAATGAGCTACATCCCTGGGCCTGTTTTACTTTTCAAAGAAAACATTCTTGGGGGGTACATGGGTGTCATGGCTCATATGTGAAGGTCAGAGAACAGCTTTCGAGAGTCAGTCCTCTCCCTGAGTGTCTGGGGAAAGAATCCAAGTTGTTAGAGAACAAGCACTGTATGCCTGCTGGGCTGTCTTGACAGTCCGTCTTGACTCTTTTGAGATACATTCTTGCTTCATAGACTTCCACACTGGCTCCAGCTGGCAGTCCTCCAGTTTCAGCCTCCCATACTTGTAATACTGAGATTACAAGTATGCAGGAGCAACATATGGACTTTTCTAAGAGAAGCAAGAAACCTAAGTTTGTGTGCTTGAAGTACTTTAATTCTTTTAGGTTTTGTTTTTGTTCTTATTTTGTTTGTTTTCAAGACAGGGACTTGCTATTTATCTTTGGCTATCCTAGAACTCACTATGTAGACCAGGCTGGTCTCAAATTCACAGAAATCCTCTGCCTCTGCCTCCTGAGTGCTGGGATTAAAGGCGTGCCCCACCATACCCTGTTGAGTACTTCAGTTTTTTGTTTTTTTGTTTCTTGTTTTTATTTTTTTATTTTTTGAGACAGGGTTTCTCTGTATTGTTTTGGAGGCTGTCCTGGAACTTGTAGACCAGGCTGGCCTCGAACTCACAGAGATCTGCCTGCCTCTGCCTCCCGAGTGCTGGTATTAAAGGTGTGCGCCACCAACGCCTGGTGAGTACTTCAGTTTTTAAATCTTGACCATTAGCTTATTTTTGAGTCAGGGTCTCAGAAAGTCTAGACTTGGTATCAAGCCCCATATCCCCCAGGCCCACTTCTCAAGTACTAGATTAGACATTTACTGTCATACCCAGCTCTTAACCAGTAATTTACATCCTTTGAAAGTGGAGCAAGCCCAATTAAAGGGCCATCAGAACTAACATGTGGGTTAACAGGGGAAGCAAAGTCCTCTGACCTCAATTCTGTTACCACTTAAAACAAAACAAACAAAACTGCCTTGCCTTGTAAACAGAAAGGAGACAGGCTCTCTGCAGATGACACTGCTAACTGACTAGACTGTTGTCCCCAGGACAGCTCTTGCTGAAAATTCTGTGACTTCCTGGAGGCTGCCATGGAAGCTGAAGTCTATAAGCCATGTGAGCATCAGGAAGTATAGACTGTCATCTTTTGCTTTGTGGTTTTGTTTGTTTGTTTTTTGGGGGGAGGGTTTCCACACAGGGTTTCTCTGTGGCTATGGAGACTGTTCTGGAACTAGCTCTTGTAGACCAGGCTGGTCTCAAACTCATACAGATCTGCCTGCCTCTGCCTCCTGATAAAACACAGAGAAACCCTGTCTCAGAAAAAAAAAAAAGGAAGAAAAGAAAAGAAAAAAGAATGAAGGAAAGAGAGAAAGAAAAAAGAAGTATAACTATGTATATATGTATGTATGCATGCATGCATAATTTATGCTGGGGTTGGAGGTGGCCAAGGTCAGCAGAGAACTAAGACAATATAGACAAAGAAGACATAGGGTACCTCAGACTCAGCTGCCTAAGCACGGATAACAACAGCCCAGGGGAAAATTCAGGTCCCCAGAAGCAGCAACCTCAGCTCGTCCCAGGCACTGTCTCCAGCCTCAGACTGGCCTTGCCAAGTCTGTTCCTGGTCAAGGGCACAGAACTAATGTCCCCGTTGTCCTTTCATCAGGGCCTCTGAGACAGTTGTGAGTTGGTCTAGCTCTGCACACAGCTCACTGTGAGGGGTGCAGGTGGCCTTGGGTGGTGTGGACAGTGTTCCTGGACTGTATAATAAAGCAGGCTGAGCAAGCATGGGAACAAGCCAGTGAGCAGGCTTCCTCCATGGCCTCTGCTTCAGTTCCCTCCCCGGGTTCCCACCTTGAGTTTCTGCCCCGACTTCCCTTCATGATGGGCGCTAAGCTGTAAGGTGAAATAAAGCCTTTCCTCCTAAGGTGGCTTTTGGTCGTGGTGTTTATCATAGCAATGGGAAGGAAAACAGAACAGACTCTTGGCCACCGTTCTCCCCCAGCAGCCTGAATGGCACCATTCAGCACCCCAGGAGCTAGCCAGCAGGAAGAGCTAGCTTTCTGTCCTGCAACCAGACAAGAGTCTTCACCAAGTCTTACCTCCTGGCTCTAACTTGCAGCCAATGCAGTGGCACTAGCTGTGGTTTGGGGGCCTCCGGAGCTTCCTGGCCATCAACTCACAGAGTTAGCCTGCCCCTAAGCACTGAGACTAAATTAGCTTTTGGGGTCCTGAGAACATCTTTCTCGGCCCACACAGGGTAGTCTTTGCTCACTCTTTAACGGTCATTTCAGCGTTTACAGGCACAGACTGCTGAGGGATTTTTCTCATTTATCTTGTGTGTCATCTCTGCCATCCCCAATATAAGCTCCCAACGGTTTCACAGCTGTGCCTGGCCCTTGTCCCATTGGGGAGCTGACTTCCCAACCTTGCTCCTGTAGATATGCCTGTTTTTCTCCAGATGATCTGTAACTGTGAAACACTCAGAGGCTAGCATTATAACACCCACTTCAAATAAATAAATGAGTAAATAAATAAGATCTTTAAGAAGGACAAAGACTGCATGATCCATCTCTGCTAAAGGAAGGTATTATAGAAGTGTAAGGGACTTCTCATTGGTCAAGAGCACATTCCTAGGGTGAGCTCTTAGGGAGCTGAGCCTGGTCTACAAAGCAAGTTCCAGGATAGCCAAGGCTACCCTGTCTGGAAAAAAACAAAACAAAACTTTATTTTATGTATATGGGTGCTTCTTCAGCATGTACATCTGCACACCAGAAGAGGGCATCAGATCCCATTATAGATGGTTGTGAGCCACCATATGGTTGCTAGGAATCAATCCCCAGTTCTCTGGAAGAGCAGCCTGTACTCGTAACTTGGCCTTTGTGGTGGTTTGATAGTGGCCCCCATAATCTCATAGGGAATGGCAATATTAGGCTTTGTTGGAGTGGGTATGGCCTTGTTGGAGGAAGTATGTCACTGTGGGGGCGGACTTTGAGGTTTCCTATGCTCAGGATGCCGCCCAGTGTCTCAGTCGACTTCCTGCTGCCTGCCTATGAAAATGTAGGACTCAGATCCAGCACCACATCTGCCCACAGGCTGCCACGTCCCCTGCCGTGACGATAACCGGACTGAACCTCTGAACTATAAACAAGCTACCACAATTTACATGCTGACCTTTATAAGAGTTGCCATGGTTATGGTGTCTCTTCACAGCAATAGAAACTTAAGACAGCCTTCTTTCCCCCTTTTTGGTAACATCCTTTAAACACAAAGGTTTTAATCCACACATGCTTTGGATAGAGTAACTAAGAAATCACTGCTTCATTCATTGTTGTAAAGATTTATGTCTGTGTTTCTTGTGGTTTTCTAGTCTTAGCTCTTAAACCTAAATCTTACGGTCCATTTTGAGTTGATTTTTGTATGTGATTGAAAATATCCAATTTGTCCAAGACTGGTGTGTTTTATGATAATGTGTGTATGTGTGCACACGTGTGTGTGTGAACTGAGGGCAGCCTTGAGCTTCTGAACTTCCTGCCTCCAACTACCAAGTAATGGAATTGTAGGCATGTGCCACCACACCCAGTGCTGGGCATAGAACCCAGAGCTGTTCTGTCTTGTTTGCTTGGCTGAATCTTTGGGAGTTTTTTTGTTTTCAAAAGAAGCTAGAAACCCAGACTTTCTTTTGTGTTTGAAATACTTTGACTTTTAAATCTCAATTAATTTCACTTGTTATTTATTTATTCACCTTAGATGGACCCTCAGGTAACCCAAACTGGTCTCAAATTCCTGGCCTTCCTGTCTCTCATGGGCAAGCACCACCACATGCAGATCTTGACCGGTAACTAATCACCCCTGAAATGCAGCTCTGGATTCACACAGAGCCATCAGCTTCGGCCTCTGCGTTAAAGAGGCAATGGATCGGATGAGGTTCTCTTCAACCTCGAGCCTCTCAATGCTTCTGAGCCAGAAGACTGCCCTTGCTTCTCATATACAATTCTAGTGGGCTTCCCACCCTAGCCCAATACTCAGAGCCTAGGCCAGTGGGATCAGTGTGTGTGCAAACGCATCTGGGAACCACCCACAAGACTGCACTCTGTCCCCAGGACCAGCCCTTGCTAGAGCTTCTGTGAATTCCAGAGAATGCCATAAGTTCAAGCCCTCTGGGCTTCAAACAGTGTGTATCTTTCATCCTCTGTGGTCGAGCTTTTAAGACCATCCCCGCACTCCTGGAATATCTCGGGATAGTGCCGGAAGCCCACAGGTGGATCTGGGTCCCCGCGGACTGTGGCCAGGGATATAGATAACTGACTGGCTTCTCCAAGCCTATGGCCCTTAGCTCCTGGCCGATGGACCCACTGATGCTTTGCCACTGCTGACTTCTGGCCAAAACACCTGCCACATTGAGGGCAGGGGTAGGGTCGCTCGCCACTGTGGGTCCGCCTGTGGGCTGACATTTCAGAGCTCTGGCGGAAGCAGCGTCCACAGTCAGGGCATGAGTAAGGCTTTTCACCCGTGTGGGTGCGCACGTGGCGCCGGAGATCTGAGGCATGGGCAAAGGCTCTGCCACAGTCTGTGCAAGGAAAGGGGGTCATGCCACTGTGTACCCGCTGATGTTGATGGAGCGCAGAGCTCTGGCTGAAGCAGCGCCCGCAATCGGCACAGCAGTAGGGCTTCTCCCCAGTGTGGGTACGGAGATGAGCCGTGAGGGCAGAGCGCTGCGTAAAGGCATGTCCACAGTCAGGACAGCGATGTGGCCTTTCCCCTCGGTGTATGGCCCGATGCTTGCTTAGGGAGGAAGCCCTGCCGAAGGGCTTGCTGCAGTCAGGGCAACGGAATGGCTTTTCACCTGTGTGAGTGTACAGGTGCTCCACCAATGTGGACCGCCAGGCAAAACTCTTCCCACACACACCGCAGCCATGGCGCTGATCTGCTCTTGGGACACTGGCGGGGACAAGAGGGAGGTGGCCTTGGTGAGAGTCCTTGGACAGCAGATCCAAGTTGCAAGGGGGTCCAGCAAAGGAGGAGTGAGGCTTCTTCGGCCCACCTTGTGTAGAAAATGTCTTCTGGGTTGCCTCAGTGTCTTCCTTTGGCCTCTTCCTTTCCTCCTGTCTGCAATCTGTTTGGAGAACAAGAAAAAAACTCAGACTCTGTCTGATCCTTCTTTGATTCCCACACCCCCACATGGTGACAGACAAGACACTGGAGGGGAGAAGCCGCAGCATCTGAGGATGTCCAGAGGCAGCATAAAGAAGGGCATCAGTGTGGTCCCCAATCCCAAGTCCAGCGGGCTGAGCACTTGGCACAGTGATGGCAGCAGAACAGGAGTGGAAACGCTGGGCGACAATGAACACAGCTTGGTGACCGACCAGATATGAAGTGAGAGTCCTGCACGGGCACAATCACAGCTCGTGTCTAGGTGAATCCAGGGGCCATGCATCATGACTTTCGCCAAGAAACTGCCAGGCAGGCAAGTGGAGTCACCAGAAGGCACCACAACTGGCCGGCTACTGAAAAGTCCCCAAAGCCGGAACACCCAGTCCTTCACCTGAATCGGCTTCCATCTGACACATGGCCACCTCTGGATCCTGGGCACCGGGTCCCCACAGTTCGGCCTCTTCCTCTACCCAGGAAATGAGCGCTGGCTTGGCGCCTCCCCCTCCTGGACAGAAAGAAAGCAAACGCCACGATGCGGGGAGTGGGGGAGGAACAACCCATCGTGTCGGCTGCCCGTCCCCAGGGCTCTCCGCTGCACCGCTGGACACAGTGTCACGCGCAGCACGAGCCCAGGCTGCCAGGAAAGGCTCTCACCGAGCGCGCCCAGAAGACCGTAGGTCTCCAGCATCACCTCCCGGTACAGGGCTCTCTGCGCCGGCCGCAGACAGCTCCACTCCTCGGGGGAGAAATACACGGCCACGTCCGCGAAGCTCACGGTCCCATACTTCCCGAACACGGGCCGAGCCGAGGGCCTTCCCGGGGCAAGTAGCTGCGCCATGGGGACCCCCGGCTCGGTCCCGGGCCAACCCGGCAAGCCCGGGAACGCCCGCCCAGACCCAGGTGTCCGCGGTCGGATACCAGGGCCGAGAAGGGACAGAAACCAACTCCGTGCGCAGCCTAATGTAGGTAAAACTTGAAAACTGAAAGCAGCAGGTACACAATGAGGACTTGAGGACGCCTGCATAAAAATGGTGGCAGTGGGGTCTCACAAACTAGGCTCCCTAACGGCTGTGCCCAGGGTTACATCACCGGTCTTTCTGGGTCATTGTCTTCTAGCCCTCATCCAAAATGGCCACAGAGTCTGCAAGTGCCAGTCTGAGAACAAGTCCCAGGCAGACGACCCATGTGGGCGGGGACTTCCCTGGCAGCAAGGAAAAGATGTAGTTGAACAAGGGTGCAGCAGACTCTGGGGACCCGCAGTCATCTCAATGTCAGCTAGGTAGAAGTGGCCTGTGAATGGGTGCTTAGTTTTTTGCTTCTGGTCAGTGTTTTACTGAGCTGGAAGCCTGTGAAAGGAGGCCATTAATAAGAAGGCAGAAAATGGAGCGGGCCCCCAATTAGGGGATTTTTCACCAACTTGACCTAGAATCCAAATTAGTTGAGGAGTACTGCTCCTGACACAGACCAGAGATCACAGAGCTGTTCTTTGATCATCCGGGACACCTGGGACATTCACAGCGGCTCACTTCTAATGTTCTAAAAGTGTGCACCTGCTCATCTGGACTTCCGTCCCATGAGGGAATACCTGTCAGTGGTTTCTGGGATGTTTGTGAGATTCCCATCAAACATCCAAAAGACGAATGAGGTCTTACAAGGTCTTACAAGGCTTTAAGCCTCCTTCATTGCTATTTTAATATGAAACACCTGTCTATGAAAGGAATTTTTTTTTTTTTTTTGGTTTTTTCGAGACAGGGTTTCTCTGTGGCTTTTGGAGGCTGTCCTGGAACTCACTTGGTAATACAGGCTGGTCTCGAACTCACAGAGATCCGCCTGCCTCTGCCTCCCGAGTGCTAGGATTACTATGAAAGGAATATTATCTCCGTGTCGGCATCATTCACAGTGGAATTCTTTTGCTTTTTTAAAAAGATTTATTTATTTATTATGAATACAACATCCTGCCTCCATATTTGCCTGCAGGCCAGAAGAGGGCGCCAGTTCTCATTATGGATGGTTGTGAGCCACCATGTGGTTGCTGGAAATTGAACTCAGGACCTCTGAAAGAGCAGTCTGCTCCTAACCTCTGAGCCATCGCTCCAGCCCCCACAGCTGGGATTCAGCCAGACTTCGGGACAAGGGGTTCTTTTCCTTTCCTATCACCCATAATTGTCCCTGCCTTTCTACCGTGTCTCAGCGCAAACATGTTGGATCAAGACCAGGTTTCTGTTCTAAGTCTGTACTAAGCTGAAAGATAAAGCAGATATGAATTCCCTGGGCACACAGTGGCCAGATCTTCCTGCTGACTGTGTTGAGGTCTATGTGACAGATGAAGTTTCGGCTCCGGGAGGCCGCTGGCACTGAGCACCCAGTTTGCCTGTGATGCGTATGATGACAGACAGTTTTGCTATGCATATGATGACAGACAGTTTTGCTGGGAGTGGTATTCTGGGTTGTCAGTTGCTGTCTTTCAGAACATAAAACACACCGTCACATGCTTTTTAAGTTTCAGTTGGGTGATCTGATGTTATTCTGATGCTATTCTGCCACCAGCATCTTTGGCTGCTGGACATCTGACAGTGTGTTACAATCCAGAATATACAAACAACTCAAAAAACAAAGTCAAAACACACAAGTGACCCGTTCAAACTATGGGCATGGCATCTGAACAGAGAGGTCTCCGGAGAAGAAATAGAAATGGCTAAGAAATATCTCAAAAAGTATTTATTGTCTGTAGTTGGTTTTTACTCTTGTACTCTTTACTCTTTGGGGGGTCCACCACACAGCTCCCAAATAAATCACACACAGAGGCTTGTTCTTACTTACAAATGCCCCGTCTTAGCTTGGCCTGTTTCTAGCCAGCTTTTCTTAAATTATCATATCTACCTTTTGCCACTGGACTTTAATCTTTCTGTATCCTATGTACCTTTTTTTTAATCAACTTTATGACTGGCTGTGTAGCTGGGTGGCTGGCCCCTGCTGTCCTCTCTCCTTTTCTTCTTCCTCAATCCTCTCTTTCCAGATTTATTCTCCTTTTTGTTCTCTCTGCCTGCCAGCCCCACCTATCCCTTTCTCCTGCCTTGCTATTGGCCATTCAACTCTTTATTAGACCAATCAGGTGTTTTAGACAGGCAAAGTAACACAGCTTTACAGAGTTAAACAGATGCAACATAAAAGAACACATGTCAGGGCCCATAAAAGTGCCTCCATTTCATCTTGACTTAAAGTCAGGGAGTTCAAGCTGATTATTGCTCCTTCAAGGTTAAACAACAGTAAGTTTGGCCTTAGGTGTAGCTAATGGATGTCTCATCTTGACAACAGGATATTTGGTTAAGGGTGTGGCTACTTGATGTTTTGGGTATTGAGAAGTTAATTACGCTTGCTTGTTCTTTGTATCTTCGTAAGGAAGTCCCCCACCCCCTTTTAATTGGGGTATGTAAGAGCTTTGAGTAATAAATTTGGGGCTGATCCTGGCATTTGCTGGGTGCCCTCCCAGCTCTATCTCTGTCTCTTGTCTAATTCTTTCCACACTGCTCCTTCCAAGCACAAACTGGATAAATCTGGTAGACTGGACAGATGGCCCTGCAGTGTGGCCCAGAAAAATGCAACACATTTTTGTGCAACAAATGTAACACATTTTAACATAATATTCCACAACATTTCCCCCTTTTTTGTCTAAATAAAAATGGAAGATCTTAACTTTAACATAGTAAAACTATACACAACAGAAACAGTTATCAAGTAAGAATTAATTTATTATATTTACTCCATTTGTATTTGGCAGATTCAGAGGAAACATTCCATTTATCTTAGTGAATCCACACTACTTTGTGAATCCAAAGTTTTATACCTAATTTACTTTCTATCATAACTAAGGTTTATACCTAATTTACTGTCTATCATAACTAAGGAAACCTGCAATTATATCTAGTTTTCAACTTCATTAAAGGCCCCAGAAGGATATAATATTATCTGAGTAAACAGGAAATGAATTGCAAGCAACTGCCAAAACTCTAGAAATGACAGAGACCTCTGTCTGCCTGGACAGTCACCCAAGGGTTTCCTCTGCAATGTTGGGGCATCCATCTTCAGCCTACAGGCCTAGAGTATCTTGCAGACTTTTCAGTGAGGCAGGAAATTTTAAGGACTGTATCACCTTATACTGGCAAAGTTCATCAGTTTCTTTCCTCTGTGTCCTGCAGAATGTATGGCAGACTGTTCAGTGAAGAAACCCTGAAGGACTGTCCCATCTTGTTTTGGCAAAGCTAGTAGTCACTTTCCTGTGGGTCCTGCATGTCCAGTCTGCACAGCACACTGTCAAGCAGTCAAGACGAAAGCAGCTTCTTTGTTCAATGGCTAACCTTGCCAGAATGAAAGCAAACTCTATAAGGATTTTCTTTGATGCCTATCATCTCTGAAGTGAATTGGTGCTGCCAGGAGCAGGTGTGTCTCCTTGTCATGAAAAACCTTAAGTTAACAAAACATTTAAATACCATTTTCTATAGGTCTTTGAGGTGTGTGAAGACCATTTATCTATCTAAAATATATCTCTGTATGATCTTGAAAACATGCCTAACATATCTACAAATCTGATTGCTATAATTGACTAACTGCTGGCCTATGTATCCTAAACAGTTTATCATAATAGCTTTCAAAAACTAGAATTTTACCTTACATTTTTAAAGGAACTGCATAGGTACAATATCTTAAACAATAGAAAGAGATATACAGTATAACAAAAATAACTTTAAATTTGTATTGATATACTATATTCCCCTAAATGATAACATTCATAACCCACCAAATAACCAACAGCATCCTACAACCCAACTCTTGGGAATGTGGACATTAGGAATTCCTGAGAAAATCTGAGATAATGGCCAAGTCCTGGGAAGACCAGCTATAAGCTTTGTTGATAGATATCACCTGTCAAGTATCAGGTATCCTCTGACCAAATCTGATCCATATTAACCAGGAAGGAATTCACAGCCCCTTTTTTCCTGAGGACACAAAAGCAAAACCATTTCTCCAAAGAAATGCATCTTTTAAGATCCATTTAACAAATACATTTTTTTACTTCCATTTTAAAGTTAAGGAATTCTTAAAATATCTAGGCTGGTTTATTCCAAGAGCTCCTCTTTCAATCCCAGGTCTTTTAGCAGCTGTCCTTTGCTTTTTGGCAATCAAAAAATTCAAAATCAGCACAGCACTATACAGGATCCAGACTCCCTGTGTGTTTCCCATCTTACATGGCTTTTTTCTTTTATATTACTTTTATTCTCTCTTTAAAGACTTCATTATTTTTAAACTATTTCTTTTCCTTTTTTTTTTTTGTTTTTTTTTTTCAAGACAGGGTTTCTCTGTATTGCTTTGGAGCCTGTCCTGGAATTTGCTCTGTAGACCAGGCTGGCCTGGAACTCACAGAGACCCACCTGCCTCTGCCTCCCGAGTGCTGGGGTTAAAGGCATGCGCCACCAACGCCCGGCTAAACTATTTCTTTTCATGATTGTCTATACCCATATTCTTTGTTTCTTAAGCATATACACACTGTAAAACAGACCTCTTTTCCTGAATATCTCTAATCTTTTTTGACAGTGTCAGTAAACTTTCAATCTGCTAGACTACAGCTGAGTCCTCCACGATGCTCTATCAGCTGGCTCGGCCTGTTTCTGGATGCCTAAAGCTTGCAGCCTGCTGAGAGGCCTACTTGACTAGCAACTGCATCCAATTGTCCCTACTGTAGGAAGCCACACCTGTACTGCTCCAAGTGTTTTTTCACTTAGCTTGACCTTCTACTTAGCACTGCTGACCGAGCAGCGGGGCCTCTTAAAGAAGCCACGTAGTTTTCCTTTTCTTTTTCTTTCTTTCCTTTTTCCTCTCTGCTTTCTCAAGCCTTGCATGGAAATTCAGGCCCATGTTGGTATGCCAAATGTAGTTGGTTTGATTTTTATTCTTTGACTCACATGGAGACTTATCATTACTTATGAATGCCCAGCCTTAGCTTGGCTTATTTCTAACCAGCTTTTCTTAAGTGAAATTATCCAGTCTATCTTTTGCCTCTGGGCTTTTAGCTTTCTCCGTCTCTGTATCTCTTTTCTTTCTTTCTAACTCCATTGCTGGTTGTGTAGCTGGGTGACTGGCCCCTGATGTCCTCCT